GGAGTTTTATGAAAATGCAAATGTTCTGATGATTAACAGTTTTCTATTTCCATTATGTGGGAAGTTTAGGTTCTGAAGTAAAATTGGGACACCTTCGATGCCCAGAATCATGGACACAGGTCTGAATTAGTATTCCTCAGCCATGCCGCAGTAGGAGAAATAACCTAAGTGGGTAGATAAGTGGGTTTGACAGTCTGGATTTTGTTACTGTTTTGAGGGTGCAATACCTAGTTAGTAAAGCTTTCCCATCGTTCAGACCTCCTTAAGGAAAGGATGCTTGCTGGTGTTTTTTGTAGTCAAATGCTCTACCACTGAGCTTTACCTGCGTCATGGGGTTTTCCTTTGGCCCACTTAGTCACCCAAAATAAGAAGCCTACGTAGAAACCCAACAGTATGTATATTTTATTTTTTGTTTAGCTAGCCTTTTTATGATGTGTAATGCGAATTCAGTCGAAAATTTATTTTTGTAGCAGTGTGTTTTGAAGGAAGAAGTGGTACATCGTTAAGTTCTATTATTTGAAGTAAAAATGTAAATATCAACTTTTTTTTCTGAAACAGAATTTTACAGATGTGATTTAGTATTGGCTATTGGCTTAATAATAAGTTTTAAATAGTTTTAATCAGAAATGAACTTATTCTTTGAGTTCACATTTAAACTGTGGCATGTTGAAATAATCTAGGTTCCAATCTGCACATCTGAATTCATTTTGTAAAATATGGCAAACAGCTGCATTTCGATTGAAAGCTAAAACAACTGCAGGACATTAACCCATTGAGAAGATTACAGTAGGTTTTCAGTTCCATGTTAACTGTATTTATTAGAGAAAATTGGCTTGAGTGCTTCTGCTTTTAACCGACATTTTTTTCCCTCTTAAATGTCTGGAAGAAAGGAAATAAAGCATTGGAATGATAGGACTTTGATGTGTAAAGAAGTTAATGTCTAAAGAAGTTAATTATCCAAATCATCAAACAAAATGTGGGCATGGGAAATAATTATTTTAGAGAGTCTAATGAGCTATCAGCTCATCATGTCAAGAAAAATGCTATTCACCTGTTTGATTTAAAGATTAAATAACCTGACTGTGAAAGGATGGTGGTGGTTATCATAAACTGGGATTGGGACCTTTTTCCTCTTCCCAATAAATACTCTTGATGTGAAACATTTGCACCAGGGGGACAACTGAAGAAAGCTGTGGTTTTATTATGAATTTCCTTTGTGCAATCTCTCCGATGGAGTGACTGCGTCTGCACAGTGGCAAGGGCAGTGCTGCCTGCGGTCTCTTGCGTTTCACATTTTCTCCAGCATGCCCCTGTCAGTCTAGGTGGGACCGCTGGGAAAGCTTTCCTCTGGGGCGCTGCAGAAATCCAGTGTCCTTTGGTAGCACTTTTTCCTTGTTCTGCAGGATTGCAGGGACTGGGCATCCGTGGTTTCCTGTCTGTTTGCCCCCAGTCTTGAAGGTTATTTGAGTTTTCCCTCTTTTGACCTGATTTTCAAATGCTAATGTTTCCATTCAAGAATCATATCCCAAAAAAACCACACCAAACTCACTACCATGGAAGTCAGCGCTGACTCAGCGACCCTGTGAGGCAGGGTAGAACCGCCCTGTTGAGTTTCCAAGACTGTGACTGTTTACAGGAGTAGAAAACCCTGTCTTTCTCTTGCAGAGCTGCCTGGGGTTCAAACTGCTGACCTTGCAGATCATAGTCCAGCTGGCAACCACTAGGCCACCAGAGCTCCTTATGTCAAAAGTCTTTGCATGAAAGGGGCAAGTTTAGGCTGACCCCCTCCACCCCCCCAAAAAAGATGGTTTTTCTTAGTTTCTTTACATGTTTTTGAAATGTGGGTTTCAAGCAATTTAAGCCGCACCTTCCCCCCCTCAACTCTTGCATTCTCTGTGTAATGGTTTTGGCCTGGCCATTAGCACCCATGGACCAGAACCAGGGGTTCTGTAATCATTAGTTGCACCTGTCACATAGGATATCAGGAGATGGCAGACCTAATCACCCAGGTAGTATGCTGCTTGTTTTAGTTCCCTGATCTGCTGTCTTCTCAGAAGTTTTATATAAGGCCTACATTCAAGTTCGAGGCTTCCAACTGGTAGATTTGTTAGGTAGGCCAGCATAGGACTGGGGGATGTCCATTAACGTGTGCCCAGAGGGTCAAGCTAGGGAAACAAAGGAGTGGCGCACCGCACATGTTCAGGGTTCCCGCCGGTAGGCAAGGGTGGTGGGCGTGAACTTGAATTGGATCACCTAGCCAGGTAAATTCAATTCCGCAGAGAGCTTTGGCACGCTTTGCGGGACGCAGAGCCGCGTCCAGCTAGGCCGCATGTCCGGGAGGAGCCCCTTGGGTGCCGTGTAAACCTGAAATTTCTTCTAACTTTCATAAAACTCACTTCGATCACGAACCAGGCTTCGGCGTGAATTCTTTCTCGCGCAGAGCCAAGGACTGAGGTATACATCTAGCTCCAGAGAGATCTAACAGATTCTGTTTAGATCCTTTGCTAAGAATAGCTAGTCTTCTTCTGAGGATCAGCTAGTGGGTTTGAACCCTTGACCTTGCAGTTAGCACTCCAAGGCTTACTTAACTGGGTTAGCAGGGCTCTACCTATTCATACGTAAGACCTACTTAGGATGCATCTCTGATTTAGTCTGTCTGCAGTGACAACTCCATTTCTCCGCAGGGGATAAAGCAGAATGAGCTACTTGCAAAGCCCTTGTTTCTGGCAGTGATCCAGCCCGTTCCGGCTCATCGTGGGCCTATAGGACAGGAGAGAACTGCTCCCAGTGGGTTTCCTGGACCGTAACTTCATGGGAGTAGAAAGCTTTATCTTTCTCCGGCCGAGTGCCTGGTGATTTTGAACTGCTGAACTTTTGGGTCACAGCCTAACTCGTAACCACTATACCACCTGGGCATGCAAGTTCCCTGTTTTCTTTTAGCCTTCATTAACCACATGAATAGTCAGATTAGAGGGATGTATTAGGAAGATAAATTGGACTGCAATGTGAAGATTGAACTGAGAGAGGAAGGGAGGGGCCTAGAGCAGTAGAATAAGAGGGAAGACTGTGAGAACATAAAGTAGAATTTTCTGAGCCTCCTGCAGATTATAGAGTGCGGGAGAAGGAGTCAAAGATAATGATGGAGTAGTTGAGGTCAGATGACTAGGAGCAGGAGGCTGTGGGGCAGCCAGTCCCTGGGTTACGAATGTCCAAATATCATATGACCTGTACCAATTCCAGTAAAGCCTGTTACACTGAAAATCTGAGATACATATAATTGTTCATAATAACAAAGATGCTCTTTGCTGCAGCTTTGTGATTTGCTCCAAAACATTATTAGTGCATCATGTTTTTCTTTTAGAAAAAAAAAATCTTCAAGTTACTTAAACTGGTGTTTGTGGAATGTAATAAATCTAAATTAGTCATATAAAAGATTTTAGCAAATGTAAATGGGAACATGCTTGACATTTTCTTGTTTATAGTAAAAGCTAGCATTTATTGTTTACTGTGTGCCAAGTGCTATTCAGCAAACTTTATACATGTTGGTTCATTTAATCTTCATGACAACCTTAAAATGAGATGATAGCTCCCAGTTTTTAGATTAGGAACTTGAGACATAGGAATTAAGTAATTTTCTCAAGGTCCTAGTATAGTAGCTGGGCAATAAGACTCTAGAATCTTCCTTTAATTTGTTTTCTGAGCTTTCTTCAACGTTCCCTGGTGGTGCCTTAGCCTTGGCAGCTGTTCAGTAAGTGTCAGCCTGCTAACCACCGAGTTAATGGTTCAGACCCATCAGTCCTGCTGGGAAGAGAGATGAGGGAGTCACCACCTGGAACACCTTACGGAGGGTGACTGAGTCAAAATCAACTTGATGCCACTAGGTTTTTTCCCCCTTAAAGTTCTCATTTCATATCATAGGCTAGTTCTAAATTTGCTCTATCGGGTCTCTGGGTCAGAATTGACTCGGTAGCAGTGAGGTTTTGCGTTTTGGAATGCTAAATTGGTTGCATTCTTCTTTAGAATCTGCAAAGTATTTTTATTTTAAGGAAAGCTAGTTTTTCAGAGTTAACATAAACCTGTAAAATAATGTTTGTTGGGTATTTGTTATGGCACAGTTGTCTGTGGGATTGAACATGTATGAAGTAGAATAGTGTACAGTCGGGTTGCATCTTGTTTTTCATTATGCGTCAGTTTAATGTTATTGGGCGTTGTCAGATTTTAAATGGAATGAGGTGCATATTGTAGGATTATGGAACATAGATAGCACCGGCTTACTTCTGACCTGTGCATCGGCTGTGTGTGTCGTTTTCTTTGTAGTTTGGGCTTTGGTTCAATTGGGAGTTAGAGCTTTCAAACTGAGCACTTCACTACAGCAGAGCTCTTTATTTACTTGTTACATACAAGTATATAAGCTAGAAATAGCAGAGTTGTTCTAGAGTTCTGGATGAAATTGGGGATGTGTGTTTGGGGGCCAGTGGGACCTCTCTGCAGTACCTCCAGGGAACCATGGGGCTCCCTAGAACTTATTTTGGAAATCTCAGAGCTCTATTAACTATTACAGAGTGTTTTTCTTCTATTCCTTATTGAAAACAGGTGCTGAAATGTTTGTCATTTAAGTATTTGGTGACCAACATGACTAAGCAGTGTTTTTACCTCCTTCTTCCATTTTAGTGAAGAATAAAAACTAAACCAAATTCACTGCCGTCAGGTCAGTCTGACTCATGGGGACCAGTAGAGCAGGACAGAACTGCCTCTCTGGATTTCCGAGATTGTGACTGTTGAGGGGAGTAGAAAGCTTGGTCTCTCTCCTGCGGAGAGCTGGTGATTTCAAACTGCTGACCTTGCTGTTCGCAGCCTGATGCGTAACCGTCACGCCGCCAGCTTTACATAAAATAAAGCCTTACGTTATTTATTCTCTAAGTCACTTACAGTTGCTCTTTTCCAGGTATTTATTTCTAATCAAGATGCGTATTGTAAACCTCCTTTCTGTCTGTGTTTAGATGAATAGTACTGCAGCGAGCCCAGTGCCCACTGCGACGTCAAGTGCTGGAAGAGGCACAGGGAAGCCCATAAGCTTTGCGGTTGAATTACAGAGTATGATGTGAGTATGTTTCTGTTCCCAGCTCTGCTTTTAAATGGATCCTTGGGGGTGGGGGGAGACTGGAAATAAAATTTATAAACCTTCATTTGGAAATAATTTGAAAGTGTTTGATAACATTTTTAACTGGGCCTCTGCAAACAAGGCAGAAGTGTTTGAAAATGGTGCAGCAGTACTGTGGTTGATAAAAGGGCATAAAGGTTCACCTTTCTAAAAGTTAGGATGAATGTTCACGTGAACATTTTTTTTTCTCAAAAATCTGCCCACCTCTGTGTCAGGGATCATTTAATACGATTTTAGTTTTAGATTTAGCAGCTTGGAAATTGATTATGCTTCTGGGCCGCTGACATGTTCTCACAGAGAAGTTCTTCATTTGTCTCAAATATCATAACCCTATGAGCCTGATTTAGTTTTTAACCTTTGTGTTTGAAATCACTATTTTTCAGACAGAGGGAAAATATTTAGAAGTCTTTTAAAAGACACATTTGCTTGGGCTTGGAGAAGTTGTCCAGCCGTTAAGATTTCTTCCCTCCGCCTGTCGTGCTGGCAGTTTCTGCCTTGCGTTGAGTGAGAGTGCGTAGTTCGCCTTGACAGAAGGTAGCATATTTATTAGCGATGCTGTCTACTGGCGCATATTCCTTTGCCTTTTATTATTGGTTCAGGAGACAGTTAGCCTGCAGAAAGGGCAGACACACTAGCGTTCCTCCGTTCTTGCGACTACGTTCCTCATGGCTTATTGGGCAGCTTTCATGAATGTTTCTCAGGGAGCAGAAGTACCCTCCTCCTGTGCTCTGTATTGCCAGCCTCTGTGTGTTGACAGCCACATGTGAAGACTGTGCTTTAAAAAGTAAGATGAATCTGAGCGCATGTTCTAAACAACCTTGGAAACATTCGGGCCACAGATTCCCTTGTTTTTAACTTGGCAGTTTTTCAAAGTCACAACATTGGAGGGAATACGAAAATGAAATGTATGTATCTGTTATCCAACTCTAACCATAAGCACAGTTCACCTTACAATAGACTTTCCTTTTATTTGAAGAATTTCAAAGCTAATCCCAGATGATCATATTTCAAACTCTGGTATTTTGAAAACAGTTTTGTAAGTAGGTATAAAAACAGGTGACCTGCAGCACAGGGGCCCGTGAACGATGGCTGTGGGCCCGTGGGCTCACTGCCTGTTTTTCACATGGGGTCTCATTGGACTCCAGCCATGTTCAGACATTTACCTGTTACTCATGGCTGCCCTTGTGCCCCAGGATAGAGTGGAGGATGAGATAGAGACCATCTGGTCTAGTGTTTTCTCTCTGGCCCTTTGCAAAGTCAGTTTGATGAGTTCTGATATGTGGAAGGCAGTTCTCTAAGCAGAAAGCCGTAGAGCGCTATTTCCCTTTGTCACTTCTACTTAGGAGAGCTTCTACTTAGGGGATTTGATGGGCTGCAGGCCATCTAGCAGAACTGAGAGGGAAAAAAATAAAGCTAAATTCAGCACTTTCTTATTAAATACTTTTGCAAACATCTCCTCAACAAATGTGCCTAAGCTGTATTCAGAATGCAGAAGTTGTTTTTGGCTACCACTCTGGAAGAAGTGTACATTTTCCTTCTATTTCAGACCTCAGAGAGGGGCCACTCCTAGTAGTTACATTCATCATTATAGTGTGAAGGTATTTTTTTCTCCTTATGAATTACTTTGTAGGATAGGGACAGGGCTGACGTTGGGGGAATCCCCTTTACATCGATCAGTTATTTGCTGTTGGCATAACATTTGTGGGCTTTTGATGGTACGAAATTGGAATCAGTGTACATTTCATCCTGAAGTATGTGTTTCTTTCAAATGAGAAAGTGCAGGCTTAAGTCTCAGTGTTTGTGTTGCAAGCGTTTCACTCTGTGAACCCTTTTTTTCCTGCTGCCTCATAACTCCAAGCCTGTCTGCATTGCGAAGGTTCAGGCCCCAGCTGGTTACCGCTCTTCCCCACTAGCCTGTTCACCTCTGATGAGCTGCTTTCTTTTTTGTCTCCCTGCTCCCTAAGTCAGTAATAACACCGGTAGTGTGTTTTCCAAGGAATGATTCCCCTGGAAGGCGTCTAGTTGTCAGACCCAATGAAATGGTCTGCTCTTAAACAGTGGGGAATTTCATATAAAGCTATGGCCAGTCTGTTCCCTTAGATGGGTTTGAGCCTTGCTAGAACTTGCCAGATTTTAAATTTGGTGTAATGTACACCACTGATGAAGCCTTTGGAAATGCTTTTACAGCTTTTCAGCTTTAAAGGATCAGTAGTTAAATAATTGATGATAGGCCAGGGCTGATAGCAGCTGTCATATAACTGAGCAAATTTGTTACATGCTCTTTATTACAGCTTTGAATAACATGTACTAAAAGAGACGAGAGGATTTTCACTTAAGTTATTGATTGCAGATTGTAGGTTAGAAAGTGAACGTTTTTCAACTCACATTGTAGGTATTTCGAGTGTCTGAAAGTGACTGTCTATATTGATCCTTGCTGCACTAAAGAAGGGCCTGGTTGGCTGTGTACAGTGGTGCCATTGACTGCTCTTTAGAACGAGGAAGTTATCAAAGGTGAATGACCATCTGTCTCCCTGATGTTCATGCTCACCTTAATGTCTCAAAGAGACCCACTCTGTGAGTATTGGAATTATGAGTCAAACCAAAGCATAGTGGCTGGGACCGAGTGCTCTGCTACTCCTGACGCCGCGGTACGACAGGGGAGACCTGCCTGCCTGGGTGTCAGGTACTGCGGGGCGCTTCAGGGAGTAGAGAACCTCTTCTCTCCTGCCGCAGGAGCTGGTGGCTCTCACTGCTGACCTGCGGTTAGCAGCTCCACGCATAACCACCAGCTTCCTTTCGGATTATCAGTAGATCCTCTTACAGTGAGATCAAGTGACTTTAAATAAGGTGAAGTAAAGAGAAATTCCTAAAAGTAAAAAGTACATCTAAGCAATGTAACAGTTTCAAAGGTGCTTCCCTCATTCCTCTGACAATGAAAGATACTTAAGTGAGGGGACTTCAGAATCATTTGTGGAGAAAATCTTTTAATTCTCTTTCTACAGCGTTTTGAAGGCTCCTTGTATAGAGCTTACCATGTGACAGACACTCTGGGGAGGATTTCCGTATATAGATTATTTAATTCTCGCAACAGCCCTGTGGGTAGACACTGTTCCTCCCTCAAACAAGAGGAAATGAAGGATCTCTGGTGGCTCACAGGTTACGAGGCTAGCCCTTCTAGTACCTTTGTGCCCTATAACGGTTAGAAATCCAAAGCCCATTGCCAGCCAGTTGGTCTGGACTCATAGTGACCTTATAAATAGAACTGCCGCATAAGATTTCCAAATAAAGTAAGCATTGGACTGGAAACGGCAAGGTCAGTGGTTCAAACCCATCTGCACTTCTCAGGACAATGATGAGGCTGTCTCCTCTCATAAGATTTGCAGCTTCAGAAGCCCTGTGTAGGGTCTCTACGGGTCTGAGTTGACTCCGTGGCAGGGCGCTTGCTGTGGGTTTTGGTGCAGTGGTTGGTGCTGTGAACTGCCGGGTTTTAGGTTAGGTTAGCAGCTGGGCCAGGTACCATCCCGGCGCCTTCAGTAGTGATTACAGCCCAGCAACCCTCTGGGGCATGTTCTGCTCCCTCACAGGGGTCCCACGAATCAGAATCCGTTTTCGGTATCTGACAGCTAACAACAGGCATTCTCAATAAAAGTAATGGATCGAATTATGTACCAATCATGATTGCGACAAAAGGTGCAGGCGGTAAAAAAAAAAGAAGTAATTGACCGAATTATGTAGCAATCAAAAGTTATAGATGATAAAGAAAAGGAAATTGACTTGTGAACCACCAAGTCATGTGCCAGAAGTTACCCAGATGTGGCAACACCTGGATGTAAGCAGGAAGTTCCATTATAGTCCATGATCTTGACAGGTATGTTCAAATACATTTATGTTGATAAAATTTTTACTTTGATATATAAAATTTAGTGTGCTGTGATGTAATTATAATATGAAAGCTAAGGAATTTCTCCCTTAATAACAGTTATTAGTAATGAGATCTAATTTTTATTGAAAATATCAGTTTAGTTATTAAATGGACATTCTATTATTATAGCATTATTTTCAAATTTCTTTTTTCCAGCAGTTTTATTGGCACATAATTTATATATCATCCAATTCAAGTTTAATTGCTCAGTCGTATCAAGCAGAGAATTGTGCAGTCAGTTTTAGAGTATTTCCTATCCCTTACCCCCATGATTAAATCGCCTTTAAATTTAAAATTAAAATTAAAATTTAAAATTTCTTAACTCTACCCAAATCCTTTTAAGCGAGGGGCAAATCAGTAATCAAGAGAAAGTATATTTTTTTCACAGAAAGCATGCAATATTTATTGAGTGCTCTTATTTGTGATATTTCAAAATTTTGGATTTAATCTTAGTCATATTATACTTGGATATTTAAGCCTATCCTAATTTTCTATTTTATCTTAACACTTGATTTTAATTTCTATTATTTAATTGTATTAAGATCTATGACTAATCTCATCCACGTCTTTGTGAAATGTACCGAGTTACAGTCAACTCATAGGGCTATTCCACCATAGAAAGGAGCCCTGGTGGCATAGTGGTTGTGTGTTGGGCTGCTAACCACAGTGGCAGCCATTCAGCTCCACCAGTCACCTCTAGGGAGAGAGTCCAGTCAAGAGTTCTGGTCTCAGAAACCCACAGGGCAGTTCTGCCCGTCTTGTAGGGTCACTGCGAGTCTGCATGGACTCGACTCGCAAGCAGGGAGTTTGGCTTTTTGGTTTTCCAGCCGTTAATTCCTTCTGTGATTTAATTCTGGGCTTCATACACTGTGGCCTTTGTCCGATCTTTAACGAACAGGAAGTAGGATGAGATTAAGACCTCATTTTAGTAGAGGGTGTGAATCGGGCTGTCCTCCTTGTTTAATGGTTCTTTTGGTGACAATTGTTACTGGTGGAGCACTGGGCTGCTAACCATGAG